TCAGTGCCTCAGCTACATACCAAAATTACATCCTAACATGGCTAATGCTGAAAATTCAGGCCTATGTGAAATGATTGAGGAAACTGGTAGGTACACAGTAAGAATAAACTCCCTTTGTTAACATTAAACACACATCTACAGTAATATGGAACCTCCATGCTTTTTGTCTCCTAAAACTGCAAAATAATGCCATAGATCACAGCAAGCAATACAATAAAGCTGTTGTCAAGAAATGTCTGACTTTAATTGAATTCACATCATATAATTCCAACAGCTGCAGGCAACGCCACCAAAATACGCTTTGGGAGATCAGATGTAGATGAGGTCTCCACCCTCACTGCACCCTATGCTCTGTGATCAGCCACATCTTACACCCCTCTCCTCTCACCATGTGGTACTGACTAGGAGCAATTAACATTTTCTCTCCAGAACAGGAAAGTTGTTGCAGTCTGTGTAATGTTTCTATGTTTGTTTGTTTTAAAGAAAGAAAACTGCTTCCGCTCTAGAAATCAGTAGAAAAAATGACAGAGGAAGAGGAAGCAGAATCACAGAATCACAGAATAGCCAGAGTTGGAAGAGACCTCAAGGATCATGAATCTCCAACCCCCCTGCCACATGCAGGGCCACCAACCTCCTTATCTAATTCTAGACCGGCTGCCCAGGGCCCCATCCAATCTGGTCGTGAACACCTCCAGGGACGGGGCATCCACAACCTCTCTGGTCACAACCTCACCACTCTCTCTGTAAAGAACTTCCCCCTGCCTTCCAACCTAAATCTCTCCTCCCTCAACTTATAACTATTTTCCCTCATCCTGCAGTTATCTACCCTTTCAAAGAGTTGATTCCCCTCCCCTCTGTAGGCTCCCTGTAGGTACTGAAAGGCTGCAATGAGGTCACCCCGCAGCCTTCTTTTCTCCAGGCTGAACAAGCCCAGCTCCCTCAGCCTGTCTTCATAGGGGAGGTAATCCAGTCCCCTGATCATCTTTGTGGCCCTCCTCTGGACCCTCTCCAACAGATCCTTGTCTTTTTTGTACTGGGGGCTCCAGACCTAGGCACAGTACTCCAGATGGGGCTTCACAAGAGCAGAGAAGAGGGGGAAAATCACCTCCTTGTCCCTGCTGGCCATCCCTCTTTTGATGGAGCCTAGGATACCATTTGCTTTCCGAGCCACAAGGACACACTGCTGGCTCATATTAAGTTTTCATCTATCAAGACGCCCAGGTCCTTCTCCGCAGGGCTGCTCTCAAGGACCGCTCCTTCCAGTCTGTATGGATGCCTGGGATTCCTCCGGCCCAAGTGCAAAACTCTGCACTTTGCTGTGTTGAACTTCATCAGGTTCACCCGGGCCCACCTTTCTAGCCTCTCGAGGTCCCTCTGAATGGCATCCCTTCCTTCCACCATGTCGACCGTACCACTCAGCTTGGTTCATCAACAAACTTGCTGAGGGTGCATTCCATCATCCATTCCATCATCGATGTCACTGATAAAGATGTTAAAGAGGACCGGTCCCAAGACAGACCCCTGGGGGATGCCGCTCGTTACCGGCCTCCACCTGGACATAGAGCCATTGATGCCCACCCTCTGTCTGCGGCCTTTCAACCAGTTTCTTATCCATCAGTCCACTGGTCCACCCATCAAATCTACATCCCTCCAATTTGGAGATAAGGATGTGGTGGGGGCCCATGTCAAAGGCCTTGCTCAAGTCCAGGTAAATGACAATTACAACCAAACAACATGGGGATAGAAAAAAGCTAGCAACGGAGCTGATTAAAAACATAAAAAACATTTGAAATATTACATTCTGAAAATGATAAAATGAAATATTATAACACTACCAAAACCTTTTAGCTTTTTCACTTCAAAGAAAATATGAAAAAAATCACTGAACCGATACCAAGTTTATATTCCAGTGAAATAGCATTTTTTAGAGGAAAAGCAATCCATCAGAAAATGTTGAACCAGCTGTAAGAACTTTAGACTATTTTTCACCTGAGTAATCCGTGCAGATATTTTGTACTGTTCACTTTCAAAAGTAAACAGCACTTTGCATATTAAGTTCTGAGATACTTATTGTTCTGTAAGTCTCCACTGATGCATAGTCAGCTTATTCTATTCCATCAAACAGAACACATTTCCTATTTAGTTTTGTGTTACTTCATCCTGTAAGTTAATAACTGGTTAAGCACTCAGAAATCTTCTGCAAGCACAGAAAGGCTTAAACTCAGCAGAATGATGGGGGTGGAGCCTCTTTCCTCTTATTTTGGAGGAAATATTTTTTTGATGAAATCATCTTAGCTGTGGCCCTTTACACTCCTGTTACATCCCCTGAGCATTTCAGAATATTACCCACATTTTGTAAGTGTTTTAAGCTTCTGAATAAGTTTAAAGAGAATATTAATCTTCACAAAAATTGCTTGCCTGTTGCTAGTAACCTAACAGAAACCATTCTTCAAAGTAGAGGCCTGAAAAATTTAGTCTAGTATTTTTCTTGAAACAAAGAGGGACGTAGGAAAAAAAAAACTTCATTTAAGAATTTGCTGCAAATCAATTTTCATAAGCTTTTAAGCTTCTTTGGAAATCATCCGATAAAGGTTTAGAAAATTCCTGCAGGCAGAATACATTGGAATAATACATCAAGTTATGGGGAAGAGCACCCGCAAGAAAAGGAGTAGCAGCAAGTAGCATTTCTCAGAAATCATCTGCCTGACAATTCTTAAAAGAACAGAATTTTTATAATTAGTCCTATAGCTGCTTCCTAACACTGCTTTGGAGCTGGAGCATCGTAATGGTCCAGCTTTCCCACTAGCAACCCAGCAGTACCATGCCAGCCTCTGTGCCGCCCATTGGGCAGGTTCAAGGCAATCAGAGACCCTCAAGTCTCAACTCATACTGTTCCTGTTTTTATCTCTTCAGGCCTCCCAAGAGCCATTACTCTCAATCTGGCTAACTGAAAATCTTTGGGGACAGGGCTTGGGAGCCTGGAAACTGCTGGACTTCCTGAGATCATTGTTCCTCTCTACCCAGAACTTACCTCTCTGAAAGAGCCCATCCAGTGCTCTATAATTTTCTGTGGAAGGATGTGTCTGAGTTTAATCCCTACAAAACCAAATGTGAAATCTCAAATCCAGCACAAAACACAATGACCTCTCTATACCAGCCCAGACAAGGGCTTTCTGAACACTGAAAATGTTATACATATTTTAAGTGGTTACTGACAACATCTGTAAGGTATAAAGTTTACAGCTCTACCAAGGATTTTAGCTTTCTCCAAGAAACAGAGCAATGCTGTAGCAACAAATCATTAACACTCATCAAAAAAAGATTTACAGCTGCTATTCCGAGACCCACGATAAGCCTTCTTAATGGCAGGGAGAGAAACCCACTCCAGCAGAACTGCCCCTTCATAGCCATACCCCAGGGAAAGCACCCTCCACGCATCAGACATCTACTTGTTTATTCAGCTTGCAGGGACCAACAGCTGTGGAACAGACCTAAGGAATGTTGAGTGCATGGAGGTAGAGGTCCATTACAACAGGCACAGTGCAGTGATATGAAAGTGGTAGTGACTTGAATAAGACAAAGCAGAACACTGTTTCTCTGTTCAACACAAGAAGTGTCAGCAGCTCTGATTACTTTTCCCTATGTCTTAGCTCTTCCTCACTCTTTCTCCACTAAACTAAACTAATTCAAAGCCATAATTCTTTTGTTGAGAACTGAAAACTGTTAAAAAATAAACAAAACTACTTTTTTATGTTCATTTGCAGCATCAGTTTAACAAGCCAAAACTCTGCCACACATATAAATGAAACAGTATCAAAAGGAAAACGTGGTGTGAACGTCTCATCAACTGCAAGACTTAAAAAATACCTATACCTTTAATCTAAGAAATTAAAATAACATGTAAACCAACCAATATGTCAAGATGTTCAGCTTTCTTTAAACCCATAGCCACAAAAACCATATCTCCTCCCACATTCCATGTCAATATCATAAACTCATTTAACATTAGTTAACATATAACTAAAAATACAAGCAACTTGCTGAACAACAACAATTTCCAGTATTCAAAGCACAACAAGAGTCAGCCAAGTCACGTCAGCTTCTGTTATTGTGCCTACACTGTTTGCCATCAATAAACTCCATTAATTTGGAGGTGACTTGGACACCTTCACACAAGCTGTCTCCATATCCTAGCTAGACTGATCTAAAGGGGAGCAAGCCTAGACGAGAAACTGAAAGGTAAACAGAGTTACTCTGAATAATCAGCATCATAGCAATTGAGATGAAAATTTAGGTCTGTACATGTCTCTCCTTTTACATTTAAGCCAGATAAACTCAGCTAGCCTACGTGGCAGCAAATCCACTGACATCAGTGGAACCAATCTAATCTGAACTTGGATCCAAAGGCAGGCCAGAAGCTGCCCTTTCAAACAGCTTAAGAAGAAAAACAGAATATGTATGCCAATGACACTGACAGATGTCTATGTGTTACAGGAGCAGTTCTTCCCCAGGATTCAACTTGTGAGCCCCACAGCCCTGCCAGCTCACACAGCATCAGCACAGTCTTGCCAGGTTTGATGCTTCACTTATAGTGCCAGCTTCTTAGGGCACACAGTTATGCAAGACTCTCAGTCCATGATGAGGGAAGTATCTGGCTGTCACAGTTTGAAATCCCAGTTCAGGAGTGTGATCACTGCTAGAAATACAGAAATCACACTCTAAAAATAGCCAGAACTTATCACCATTTTCAAAATCAAGACAGGTGGTCCTTTTTCATTACTTGTGTATATCTGCATAATTGGAAAGTGACCAAGGAAATATTAATATACATACTGCTATTTTGTAATTTTCAGAATGCAGAAGTAAAAAAGTTGTTTAGATTGAGAAATGAAGATAGAGTATTTATTGACTAACATTTAGCTAATTTATATTCATTTGTACCATATTACAATTTAGCATATTAACATATCAATACTGAAAGAATAAAAAATGTTACTAACCTGTGGGAATAGCGAGTAAGTTGTATTGTCAATGGTGAAAGAATACAAAAACTCCCCATCAAACCAAAGGTTCTTTCCCATTGGGGAGTTCTGTTTTGTCATCGCAAAGAGCTGCCCGGGGTCGCAGCAGTCTTCCAGCAGCTTCCTAGAAAAGGCAACAAAAAGAAAGAGATGCATGAGTTGTAGCTCTGGCAGCCATCTCTAAAGCCCATTTTTAACTGATGGCCCAAGCACCTGAGTGACCCACAGCTCCTGAGTGCTAGAGAGCAAGCCATTTGTTTTCCCAGCAATACCATGTGCTGCAGGTGACCACACTGCGCATCAGATAACTGATACTAACAGAGAACTCAGAAAGCAAGCAGACCTAGAAATCCAAATTCTAACTTAGCAACTTCCTAATTATTTTTTTAGTTTTTACTTAAAGAAGAGCCAGCAATCCTGATTTTTTTTTATTTTTTTTTTAGAAAATCTTAAAAGTAGATAGTTAAAAATTAACCCTCCATTCATTTTTGAATGGCAAAGAAATAAAAAAAGATTTAGGAGAAGGCAGTCCATTCTTTTCAATCACTTCTAGTTAATAAAAAAATGGGTTCTCAAACACACACAGGACTCAGAGAAGCACCTTTGAAAACTAAATCTCAGAACCCAAACTCAGCTGTGAACAGTGGGCCTTGTATAAAACCCCATAGTTACATAACTTGAGCATGGAAAAATTTACCATCTCTGTTCAGTTATTAAGCATCCTTGTGCTACTTTCACTGCAGTGTTAGAGCTTGCCTGGAGTGCCCGCATGAAGTCCAACTTGAGTCATCTCGGTTTGCTATACATATATATATGATGAATATTACACTTCTCCTTTCCTCATCCAAACTGTATATCCTCTTACACTTCCAGTTCCCTAAAATAGCTATTACAGAGCTCGAGCAGCAATTTGAGAGATGGTGAGATGGCTGAAGGTTGTACTGAGCAAAAATTCTGTATCATTGCAAGCTCAGCAATTAATACCTTAACACACAGATTGGTGAAAAGCTCTCGACATCTGCAGAGCAGGAATATCTTAAAGGCAGCATGGGAGAAGCTTGCTAAAGGAAAGGTGGTGCTCATAGTAGTTTGCATCAGTAATAGATAAGATGCAAAAATACACATTGCACAATCATGTCATTGTGGTGTATTAATATAATAATAATAAACATCAATATAATTTACAATAATTTATTGTTTATTTTAAAGAGGATCTTAAAGAGACTGAAGTTATTCCCAAAAGCTACATGAAAGCTGCAGGTGGCAAGCAGAAAAATATCATTTATCAGTGTCTACCTAAATATTTGACATAGTGTTATTCTCCGTGAAAGAGGAGATTTTATTCCAAAACAAGAAGTCAGTCATATAAATGTCTTTGCTTTTTTTGTTTTTTGTTTTTTTTTAAGAATTTTCCAGAAGTTTCACAGCTGCTTTTCTTCTTTTGGAAAATGATAAGTAAAAATCAGTATTTTCTCCTAAAATAGATTTCTGTTGTAAGTTAATACTTCCTTGCAACTGTATGAATATTATTTTACGTACATATTCCAGCTCAAAATCTGGTGAAAGCTGTAGATTTGTTTTGATCTTTGCAGGGCAGGAAACAGTTTGAAAAGGTTGTGTGACCAGCAGCAGTCTATGGAAATTGCTACCATTCATCAACTTTCTCCTCTTGAGAAGTTTAGTGATTTGCTTTTGTAGCTTCCCATCACAGCTCTATCCCCAGCAAAAGGCTACCTTTTGCTGGTATTTAGCAGCCAGCTTCTAGAACAAGCCCTGAGGAAGCTCTTACATGTAACAAGCTGATCAGCCCACACTCAGCCAAAGAATCTAACACTTTTTACAAAGACTCAATCAGAAGCTTATGTCAGGTTGTTTTGTGGCTCAAAACATTACTATTTATCCGACTGAGCACAAGGCACCACCACATGCCCAGATCTTATCTAACAAGGGTATGGGGCTTATGACTCCAGAGCACCCCACTGCTCACAGTGCTGTGAGCACCGACATGTCACCACGTTTTCCCCATATGCACCCGAATTCCTTTCTGTATTGACCAGTAATGGATAAGCCAACTTTAAATTAGCAATGACCTTCAGTTAACAATGGACAAAACTGTTTCTGGAACTTAGACCACCCATTGCAGAGCCGTCTTGTCCTCTGCCGAGCAGAGCGTCAGCCAGAGTGGCAACCAACATTCCCAGAAACACCATCAAGACAACCTACACTCAGATAGGCTTCCCATCATCCTCCTCCACCATGGAAATGGAAACCAATCTGAAGGCAATTTGAAATTTCTCACCAAACATCCTTTTCAGAGCAGTCTAAGGCAGGCATAATAGAGTACTATTCCAAATAAATTTGAGCATGGAGATTTTACTTGGCTTCCTACAAGCTTCAGTTTGCAGCCTTTGGAAATTCTTTTCCTCTCCAGGTCTCACTGCAGCTTTTTGAGAAAGCTGAGAGTAATCCAAGACCAGCTGGAGCCTGTAAGTACAACTGTATTGCAAAATTATAGTTTCCAATCGAAACTTGCAACTCTATCTTCATTGAAAATCTGTTTTGAGCAAGAAACAAAAAAAGAAAAAAGGAAGAAAAAAAAAAAAAAAAAGATAACTCAGTGGAAAAGTGTCAAGAAAATGTTTCAAATTAATGAATCTTTCCTTAGCTGGGGTAAAGAAGTGAGCTAAGGAACAGCTTTTCATACAATTCTTCCCTTCACAATCTATCTAGATAGATATACCTACTCTTCCTTCTCCTCAGAACTATATTCTTCCAGTTGCCAGCAAGTCCTTAGTTAATAAATCTATTATGAAAAGCAGTAGGTGTCTCCTGGAAGGCTAGAGATAGGCAGACCACTAGTTCAAGTATTACCCACCTGCATGTATTAGCACAAAAAATCTTGTGCACACATACATGCTTCCTGTCACAAAAGAATAACTGTAATGGTCTTACATTATTCAGTTTCTCTTTCTGATTCAAATCCAAAAATTATAAAGTAAGAAAGGCTCCACAAAAAATATGCATTAAAAAGGAAAAAGGTATTCAAAGGGGAACTAAAGCAGAGCACTTAGAAGATGATGGAGTCAGAATTGATTTGCCAAACTTGATTAAAACGTACAGCTAAAATGTTATGGTAGATTTTGCAAAACTGAAGCGGCTTTTAACCAAGGATTTCAATTCAACACAAGCAACAGTTTGCTTGCAGGACATAAATTATGTACCTTTGACTCAAAGTTATCTCCAATTCTGAAGAGGAATTAAATGACCTTAATATTGCTATTTAAAAGGCACTCAGGCACCCAGATCTGAGAGCACTTCAGGGATAAATCCCACTTGTGAGAGAAGCAGGATAAAAGTTACTTCACGTCTCTCACTGCAGACATCCAAGACTTGGGCCTGATCAGCACCAACAAGGCCATTAGCCCAGAGCAAGCACTGAAGTGGCCCTGCAGATCGACTCAAGCAGCAGCTGCCACTCCGGGCAGGAGCCCAACAGTGATTTTGAGATGTTATTCACATCCTCACAGTGCATTTTGTTCAGGTTAGATCAGCAGACACTGCGCGCTGAAAGAAGAACAACAAAATCCCAGTACCAAGAATCCTGCACCCAGATAACACAATTTTCATGGGATTTACAGCACACCAGCTCTAGTCTGATCCTACATAGAGCCTGTAGCACATGGAGAGCACCACTGACATGTGGTAACTGGGGTCAATCAGGAGATCTGCTTCAAAAGTCTGCCTCTCACCAAAGGGCTAATACACACACACACACACACACTCTTCTCCACCTAGAAGGGGAAAAGAAGCCAGACCTCTTTGGTAAGTCTAAACCAAAATTTGCATGCATAGCCAGTGAAAAGGCTTACATAAAACAAAAAAATAAATAAACCATCAGTTCTGGACTTAAACTAATGAGCTTTTCAGTTCGGTTTCAATTTGTAGCCAGTTAAAGCTAAATCTTATCCTGGTTTGACATCAGTCCCAGCCAAAAATGACTCAGCAGCTAGATTAAGCAATCCAAGAATCTTCAAACTGGCAAAGACAATATCTAAAAGCAGAAACATGCAACTCCACAGCACAGGTTGCCAGCCATGAGATTACAGCCCTCTTGCTATTACTTCTCCACAGGTGGAGCAGCTCCTGCATCCCCAGCACAACGCTGCTCCTCCAGCTCCTTTGGCTGGGCTAAGGTTAAAGGCATAAGCCTCATCTGAGATGGGGCAGTGGGCAAAGGCAGCACAACGTGGCATACAGAGGAAAAAAGAAGGGTGAAAGGGTCTATTAAGACCTACTGGTACCCTGACAGCTGACGTTATCAACACCCCTTTTTCTGCCCCGAGGGGATAGCACTTTTACAGCAAACCTTCCCACACACCACCGTGCTATCGCCCACACTTCCCACAACCAAGGCACATTTACCTGATTAACTCTTCAGCACTCTTTTCCACTGCCAATGCAGCCTAAGGTGGGAAAATCTACCTGTAACTACATCCTGTGCTTTGCTTTGCTAAATATGGGATTTCACATTTGGATTTTATGTCAGCAGTTCTGACCTGATTTAGCCTAGTTCCATGATTAATGGGGCTGAGGAGCAAATTATCTGTGCCCTAGGAAAGCAGAAAGGAGGAAGGAAAAAGGTAGATGAGATGGCTAGGGAGCACACACCGCAAAGACCAGCAGAAAAAAAAGTCTCATGACTCTCAGACAGTTTTATCTTTCCCTCTGAATGGAAAACGGAAACGGAGTAATGAAGTCTTCTGGGAACTGTAGTTCATTCTTCTCTTCTGAAAAAGGTGTACCCGAAACTATTGACAATCCACAGAACTGCAGCATTAACTTTTTAACTCCCAGTGCACTACATGATGTTATGATGTGGAACAGCAATAATAGAAATCATAAAACCATGACAATCTACTGAAAAATAGGAAGGCTAGCAGGTAACTTAGGCTGTTCTATCTCATGGCCCTGTTCTCTGGATCAGTTAGTGCCCTGATCCTTTTCTCATCTGCCAACTATATTTTAGTCTTCTCCCGCAGATCGTTTAAGAAAAGATAAGTAAAGGGTCAAGAATTAATCTCCACAAGTCCACACCTGAACACATTCTGAATTCATCATTCAATT